TTCTTTTCCCTTTCCCTCATCAGGAAGTTTGTAGAAACCTTAGTGCTACACTAAATTGTTCAGATGGTGACCTGTGCCTCTCCTCATCTCTAGTTTCACTGCCAGCATCATGGTGCTGAGTGACATTTTATCTTTTGTCACAAATTTGCACCAGTTGTTTAACCAGACCCATCCTGTGCTGTGAGTTTGGGGCTCTCTTGTAGTAATTGTTTGTTCATAATAACTGTAAGCTCATTGCTATGATAGTTGTGTGGATTTGGAAGATTTATTTTTTTTTTCTGATTGCAAGATTTATTCTTTTTTTTTTCGATGGGAAGTAAAGATATTGCTGTTTCAGATAGGGAGAAATGCAGAAGGAGGTGCAGAAATGGTAAACAACTGGAGTGGAATATAGCAAAGTAGCCTGCTTAGCAGGGTTGGCAGGGTGTTATAGGAGTGACGGAAGGAACAGCACATTCATTTTTTTGTACATCAGTAAAGAGCTCCTGGGCACCTACTAGGATGTGCTATAGAAAAGATTGCTTTAAAAATGGGTGAAAACATGATGCTGAAATACAGTGAGGATATTTAAAACTTCACAAAAATGTGAAGAAGCTTCAAAGGTGAAAAACATAAGAGAACGCGTGGAAGGACAGGTAAACAGAAAGGAAGAAAGAACAGCCATCTCGTAGTATATTTCCCTATATTTGAACATTTGGATTGAAATGAAAAAGAGATCATTGAGCAAATTTTATAGATTTGTGTGGAAGAGTAAAAAGGAAACAAGAAATATTAATGCAATTATAATAGCCGTATTGAAAAGATGAAACATCGATCACGAAGAATTTCACATAACCTGGTATTGACTGGTCCGTATAATATAGAATGGAAATAATTGTTCTTGAGCAGGTTCGACTTATAATAGTGGCAGCAATTGAAGATTGCATTCAGAAGGAGAAGTTGAAGAAGCTAGGCTTATTCACAGGAACAAAAGAAAATTGTGGTGACCTAATTCCAGCTTTTGTTGTGCAGAATATACCAGTATTGATAGCACGACAAATTACTCTCCCTGTCAGACATGAAAGCAAGATTCACGTGATGCTGCTGTGCTGCACTACTCTTGCTTTCAAATAGGTCTTAAATACCTAGGGGACAGGTGATATATTGGTCCAAAGAACATTATGGCACATCATTTTCTGAGAAACTGCTGTGGCTCTTCTTGGGACTGTGTGCCTTGCCTTCTGCACTGGTGTGTGATAAGACCGTTCCTTGAAATGCAGTGTCCTCCCATTTTTCTGCCTGTATCATCCCACATGGACCTGTGTGTGCATGAAACTTGTACCTCATATGATGTATTCCTGCACTGAACTCTTTGTTTAGGCTTTTTTGGTGACTAATTAAGGATGAAGTCTTCCACAGTTTCCCAGGTTTTTAAGAATATTCGATGCTTTTTCAGAGTTAATCTAGAAGACAGCAACAAGCTCAAAGTGCTTTATGCGTTTTGATAGAAGAAGAGCAGGGTAATCCGAGGCAAGGACTACTACCAAACTTATAGTTACCGGGTGCAGGTGTGATATCTTTTTTAAACAAAAACAGTGCCTTTGTTTCCACATTTCTGACATAATCCCTTGTGGGACGTAAAATATTAATCCTTCTGCAAGAGGGTTTCACTTGAAGTCCCTGCATGTATAAAAGATGGAAATCAGCAGCATAGGCCTCCCTCCCTGCTTCATTGATGTCTGAGGCCTTATTTGCAATGGAAATCCATTCTTGTCTTTGTAAGATGATGAGCTATCTGAAAAGACTGGTTTTTACATGAATGGACCAAGTGATAACTTTGCCCCAAATTCCTCTATGTGAACGATGAATGTGGTGTTTCACTCACAGGCACGGGCAGACTGGCTCCCTTCACCACTCCGTGCTGCATAATCTCTCTTTTATCTTTATTCACAAACCCTTGGAGGGTAAAGGCTTTGCACACTTACAGCTGCTTTCTCATTATTACTCATTTGCTAGCAATGGTTTGTGGTTTAGATAGAAATGCAAGCTGACCACTGTTTTTTAATTTCTGTTTTCATATACAGCTCCTCAGTGTTGACTTTCTCCCCGTGCCATTGTCCATTGCTTTATGAATAAAAGCATGACTTTTACCAAGGTCTACACCAGTGTTACCATCAGTTTTGCAAAGAAAAGTTGTATGTCCCATCTTTCTGCAAATGCCATTAAACTCTCACTGTCCCAAAAAGCCATCAGCCAGCTAAACCAGTGCAATTGGCAGTAAAACGAGAGAATATGTGCCTTTCTAACTGAATTGATCACATATTGACAGCAGGCTGTGCCCTCCATAAGATTCTCCAGGAAAATCCCCCTTGTGTATAGCATAAGAATTGTGCAGAATCAAAGGCTCATTTCAAAGTCTGCAACTTCTTCAAGATGCTGCCTGACCCTGGGTGAAGTTGCGGACCTATCCTGACCTGGGCCACCATTTGGATTCAAAATAGGGAGTGTGTGCGTGTCATGAAAACCTGTAGCAACAGAGAAGTGGAGTGAAGGTTATGGGAGGAGGAGGTGATCGTACAGGGAAAGAAGCTCCAGGAAGAAAAAAGGAGGAATTCTTAGGAAGCCTCAGTGTAGAAATCTGAGAGGTATTAAGGATATAGATGGATTGTAGCTTATTTCTTCTTATCATCCTTTCATCTCTAAGAACAATTGTAGTAGATTACATTAAGGCTTTGTGAGTATTTTTAATGATATCTGAAGAAAAATTAAAGAAAATTATCTAACGGCTGGGGTCAGGAAGTTGAGGAAAAGCAGAAATGGTGAGTCAGGAAGATATTATTCTCTCCCATGGTCTTTATATTAAAATATTTCATAGACTCATATAATATCTCAAGTTGGAAGGGACCCATGAGTATCATCAGGTCCAACTCCCTGCTCCTCGCAGGACTACCTAAAACTAAATCATATGACTAAGAGCATCATCCAGATGCTCCTTGAACTCTGACAGGCTTGGTGCCATGACCGCTTCCATGGGCAGCCTGTTCCAGTGACCGACCACTCTCTCAGTAAAGAACTTTTTCCTAATGTCCAGTCTGAACTCCCCTTGACTCAGCTTCATTCCGTTTCCTCGTGTCCTATCACTGGTCACCAGAGAGAGGAGATCAGCAGCTTCCCCTCCGCTGCCCCCCATAAGGAAGTTGTAGGCTGTGATGAGGTCACCCTCTGCCTTCTCTTCTCCAAACTGAACAAACAAAGTGAGCTCAGCTGCTCCTCCTAAGTCTTGCCCTTGAGGCCTTTCGCTATCTTGGTCACCATCCACTGGACACACTCTAATAGTCTGATGTCCTCCTTACGTTGAGGCACCCAAAACTGCACACAGTACTCAAGTACTTGAGAGAAGGGTCATCTGCTTCACTGAGGGAAGGCAGGGTGGTTAGTGGGCACCCCCCCCCAACTGTCAAGGATTGTATCATTTGCAGGTTCATCCTGCTGTGAAGTATGACTACATTTTAAGTGTTTAAGTCACCTCTAGATAAGTCCTAGAACAGTTAATGGAGAGGTGTAACTGGAAAGCATGCATGATACACATTAATGTACTCAAGTGTATATGTAGAACGGCATGCTGTTCTCATCAGAATTATTTGTGAACCTTCTTAGCTACAAATTATTTGAAAATACTAGCATTTACTTTGATGATACAATTCTAATGAAGCAAAATAAATGGTATGAATTCTGCACATAATAGCTCCTGTCTGTCAGACTGGAAGCTCCCAATGTGCTCATCTATTTCTTTAGGGAACCATTTTCTCCATGCCTTTTAAAGACTTTCTCCAGAACATCTTCATTTTTCACTATGCAGAGTCCTGAGGCCATTATGCTTTACGGGGTTAGCCAGGTCTGCTAGACCCTTTTTACTTATTCTTCTACGGTACAAATTCTACTGTTCTTTCTACACTGCTGCTGTACTTTGGATACAGTCAACAGCAAGTGTTGACTACTTCTGTCAGGCACTGCATCTCTGTGTCTGTCTTCCCTTCTTTTTTTTTTCTCCATGCTCCGTTATTTTCAGTAAATGCTATTTATTATGTACTGTGGTCAGCATTCTGCCAGATCCATCTCACTGCATTTAATTACGCTGTGTTGAAGAGTAGCTGAGCAGTTAACAGAAGTTGCATGCTCGCAGAGCCTTGCTGTAGGTTTTTTTTTCCTCCAGCATGAATGTTGAATCATTGAATATCAGCTGAGTTTGAAATTTACCTGAATATGTTTTACTATTCCAAAGAGATTACACAATGGCCCTGATTAGCAGCAGCATTTTGTAATACCACTTAAGGCTTTATCACAGTGGAGTACTGCCAGTAATAGTCTTTAATTCACTTATATGTACCAATTCATCTCTGTCAGTTTTCTATTAATTTCTTTGCTGTTTTACTTTGTCCCTATCCCCTATATAATAAGGCATTATTTCCACATTTATGTAGCCAAAATAAAATTAAAAAAAAATTAAATCTTCAGCACATTAGCTGTGGTCCTTTGATTTGAGACAACTGTGCCATCTCTCCATTTATGTTCACGTTTAATCCACTTTTCACAAGTTAATGTATTTATGAGAATCTAGGGTGGGTCAAGTGACCAAGGGGCAGTAACAATTCTACTGGCTAATTTAGATGAAAAGTTTCAGGATTGGGTTAGGTATATTAACTGCAAAGTGGAGGGTAGGTGTAGAATTAAAACTGTATGTGTTCATGCATACACACCTGTGAAAAGCCACACTATATTCAGCGTTAATTTTTTTCATCAGAACGATGACCAGCCTTGGTTACAAAGGTGATTGCCAGAGATAAAGAACAAAATTGCTGCGTGCACCATTTTGTTTTATCTGGCACCAGTTTCACAGTGTACTGGAAGATCTAAACAGTTGGGTTTGGGGTTGTGCTCCAAATTTGTGTGATGAGTCAGTGTCTGTGGTTGCTGTTGAAGCAGATCCAACTGTATATTTCTTCTTTTTTTTTCATTGTTAGGATTGGTGCAAAGCATCAGGAGTTACGGCAAAAGCAACTGAGAGGCCTGAGTGATTACTCTGCTGGTCCTGGAGGACCTGACATAGATGACGATGAGATGGATCCAAATTATGCCAGAGTAAACCACTTCCGAGAGGCTTATCCAGCAGCAAGCATTTACAGGCCATCATCACCAGCAGTGGCAGAAACCTTTGTATATCCACATGATTCTCCTTCAGCACCAATGGAGAGGGAGCACTTGGAAGGACTGTATGCAAAAATAAACAAGCAGCACTACCCACAGACTCCTGGTGACAGGTAATATTGCCACCTGGCATTACAAACAATGATGTGGTGGGGAGGGAGCGTGGGGCTGGGGGGGGTGCTGTTCAGATGCCCCAAACCCCTGTATTTACTGACTAGAAAGCCATGGATTTCCTCTTAACCATAACCATGATTTGCTGCAGCAGTACCCCCAAAGCATCTGAGCAAGGCAGCAGTCAAACAGAAATCATTAAAGAAAAGTCCATATTTCACAAACAGAATGAATGAACTGACTCCAGTCCAATTCCTGCACTGCTGAGAGTGTGTTTTTCCCCTCCTTCAATTGGGAAAAGTTCTTACCCTGCAGCAAAAAATAATCTCTGTTTTCAGATCTCTTTCAATCCTGCTGATCATCAAGTGCCTATTAGTAACAGGTTTTGTATGATAGCATGAAATATTGCATATGTTTATGGTTTAGTTTTCCCTAGCTGTGTGATATTACGCACTTTCAATTAGGTTGGGGAGAGGACTGGGAATCATGGCATTTTTATGCAGACTCTGAAGTGTGGCTTCACAAGACTGATTGCCTTTCACAGCCTTTCCAATAACCAAGTGGGAAGGAAAGAGCAATTTTTAATCCTTACTGTCAAGCTTCCAGGTTGATAGCATTAAAGAAAGATGGTCAGGTTTTTCCCTGGGTTAAAAAGAAAACAAATTCCTTTGAGTTGATGATGTACCCACCATTATGATGATTTTAAAACTGGTTGCTTCTGGAATTTGGGGCTAAGAGAGCATGAGACTTCATCGCTATCATGGCGTTAATATTTTGATGTTGGGGTTTTCAAACCAATGTATGAGTGTGTGGGCAAGATATACAAGTCTGTGTGAAAAGAAGAGCTGACGGAGTAAGACATGGGAGACTTGAGGAATTGTTCATGCTTTGATTTCATATTACAATCTGTAGTATCTCCCCATAGCCTCAATCTGTGCTATGCGATACCACACTTGTAAATTTTGGAGAAATATGTGAGCACAGATATGGGAGTGTTTTCAGTTTGTGGCATCATAGTACTTTAAAAATGTCTACTGAGTCAGTGTTATAAATAAGTAATAAAGTAATAAAACACTTCTGACATAAATCATAAGTTTGTAGCGGGGAATGGGCCAAGTATCTCCCTTTTTCACCTAAATATGCTATGGTAGAGATCTTTCCAAACATAATGACATTGCTAATTTTTTTCTTCCATATTATTAACTCTTCCCCTATTGCATTAAGGCTGAAGAGGGTGCAATAAGAGGTAGTGATCACAGTTTTTTGCCATCTAGCACATTTTGTTTTACTAGAAAAGTCTTGAGGCGAATGTCGCTGAAGTCGCACAAACATTTGTATACAGTGAAGGGAATTCAGAAACTGAATTCATACTAACTCAATAAACGAAGATCTGAGAATTCCAAGCAGGAGGGAGTCTAAATTCAGGTTCATGTATTTTTCAAATATAAATATATACAGATGAAACTCAATTGGAGTAAGACATTGTCATAAAGGTTGCTTCATAATTTCAGATTTATCAGGACTTTATAGCTTTACATTTTAAAAATGTCATCAGTTTTGAAGTGTGGTCTATGCATTGTTTTTCTATGCAGCAAAAAGAAATGCCTAAGCCTTTCCCTCTGGCCTCTTTTATTTGACTGCTTGTATTGTAGTTGTAACTGCACTGGAATGATCTCTTGACTTGCTACATGGACAAGACTGAAGTCCCAACCAGGTTTGGATTTGGTGTTGGGATCCTGGATTTTAGTGTGGACTTAGCTGTAACTGCATGATAGAGTGGTAACTCAGTGAAAAATTCAAACCAAACTGTCTAACAGGCAAGAAAAGTTACCTCATATCTGAGCCATGATCAGAAGTCTGTTCCATCTGAGAGGCTGTTCCATCTGTGTTGATTCTGTACTGAAAGACAAACAGTCCATAACAACTTCGCTTTGTTGAATTTCTCAGGCTTGTAGAGGCTGTTTAACCAGATTAGGAAAAAATAGGAAATGTGGGATTCTTATTAGGCTGCCTTTGTTCTTTTTTTAAATCTTTCTTTCCTTTGTCTCAGAAACAAAAAGGTTGTTGTTATTCGCCAGCAGAAATGTGCCAAACGTGAATAATTTTGTGAATTTATGCAGTGGGTCGTAAGGTCTGAGCCAGCAGTGGTTGAATATAGTGGCAACTTCAGGCAAAGAAATCTTTCTGTGCTAGAGGGAGAGTATTGAAAGGAGAAAGAGATGCAGAAAGAAAAATCCCTGGATAACATGTTAATTACAAAAACAAATCTGCTTTGAAGGGTCAAGTATGAAAACTACCTTGTCTGCCTCAAAATGATGGGAAAGGGCTAGAATGGATGCTTATTAGCCAAACCAAAGTTATTTTGTGTTTGCAGGGCTGAACATTTATCAACACGTTTGTCATGTAATAGCTCATGCTTTGGTCTTGCTAACGCATGCATGCTCTCTCTCAAAGTTTTGCTATTAATTTTACTTTAGATGGATGGCTTTTTCTCCCACCTCTGACTCTCAACTTGTAATATAGTGTGTGGAGACTTGATCAGTGACTGAAGTAAATGGGGTTTGGGATAGAAAGGGGATTTGAACACAGAGAGAATAGATAATTTCATTTCGGTCTGGGAATTCCAGTTATGTGTCATTATGACAGAGAATTAAAATTCATCATTTGAAACAAGAAATTCATTTTTATTTTATTTTATTTTTGCAGAATAATGTATTAACATAATTTTAATGCCTTTTAAAATTTGGAGGCCATTTGTAAAATAAGAAGCTTAGTGGTCACGTAAGTGCCGCTCACAATTTGCATACACTTACCTCCCCTTTTCTCATCACCGGAATCCATCAAGTGCTCCTGGTTCATTCTTCTCAGTAGATTCACAGTTTAAACTGAGAATCTCCTTCAGTGCTGCAGAAAAGCAATGGGCTGCGCATGTATGAATTCCGTTGCTTTAATCATGTTTGCTGCCTTCAAGCACTGCTCCTCAGGGCACACACAGACCTGCTTCCCATTGCTCTTTGCATACTAACGTCCCCTTTACCTACGCTTGCATCTGGCATCTCAGGGGGTTTTTGCTTTGGATTTTTTGGGGGTTTGCTTTGTGTCTCATTTGCAACTGTTGTGCAACGTTCTTCTGCACTGCTTCACAATTGTTGATTTTCATTCCCACAATGACTATATTCAGTGAAATAGATGTAATTTTTTGTGTATATTTTGCTGAAAGCTTTGGGATTCTTAACTAAGAGAGGTGCTATATAAATGTAAATTGTCCTTATTAATGAATATAGCGAAAGCATTAGCATGATCAGTGTATTCTGCGAATGTTAAGTTAAAGAGAGTGAAAAAAAAAATTAGCTGGCAAAATCACACATTTCTTTGTAAATCAAGCGTTTTTCTGTTTATTTCTAATTAGCCACAGTTTTCTGTAATGCAAATGGCATCCCAAAGGATGGTGCAGCCTGCACAGCCACCTTGTGCAGCTGGGGAGCTCGCAGGGTCTTTGCCTGAGACGCTGTACATTTCCCCAGCCTGTGGCAGAGGCTGGGTGATCTGTAGCCCATATGTTCCCGAAACGAGTGGTAAGTCACATCTCTCAGAGTTTAGTCATCAAGGCTGTACCATGACAGTGCTAAGTTGCACCATGGCAGAGCCTAGGTGTCAGACCAAAGCCAAAAGAGCATATGCACAGTGCTATTATCACTTAAATGTCAGGCATGTCACATGGTGCAACCCTTTCTCACGTTTTGAATAAGCAATTTCCTCTTTTTTCCTCCCTTGAACATGGTGCTGTCAAGTATATCCAAACACCCTGGGTACATCTCCGGAAAGCTTCTAGAGACTTTGTTCAACTTATTTCCTCAGCCCAGAACTATGAAACATTATTTAAAGTCTGATGCCAAACTCATCGCCAAGTATAATTCTTCATTTATTTGTGTCTTATCTTGGGGAATTTCAAAGTGCTGGTCTGACAAAAATGAATACAGTTTTCCTTTGTTTACCGAGAATAGATTCAGAGCTGTATCTTGTTGCAGATTTAAAAAAATACTAATAAAAATCCCAACACTGTTTTATTACATAGGAATAGATTCAAAAGCCCCAGTCTGATCCAGCTTTCCATTTTTGGAAATGTTGGATCCCACTGTGCAAGGTCTTACACTCTACAATGTTAATTAATTAATTGAAAAATGGATCTTCCTTATTTCAGGATGAAAGTTTCCTTATGGAAACTTGCACTCTTCCAGAATGTTCAATCTAGCAGCATACAAAGCTGAAAATGCGGAAACGAAACCAATATCTGTGTGCAACCCTAACTCTGTCCCTCGTGTCCCACCCTCAGAGCTGGCCAGAGTCACGAGAGAGAGGGGCAAGACGCTGAGCGGTCTGCCTCTCCCTGGAAAGGATCAAAGGAAAAAATTGCTGTGAGTGTCCTAAGAAACCAAATGGCACATGTAAGCTATGTGTAAGCCTGAGAGGAGAGTAAAAAAGGTCCGGAGCTTTGAAATTTAGCAAAGGAAGCATTTTTTACTAAAAAGCAAGCTAAATGGTTGTCTTTTGGGCAGGTGTAGGTTGCTTTTACCCTCCTCAATCCAAGGCCATAGGAATCTAGAGTTGCACAGAAAAGGCTTTGTTCAGAAAGAGCAAGTTAGGGTTGCCCAGGTATGTTACTTAGCCCTAAATTTCTAGTCAGCCAGAACCTGAAGCTTTCTTGTTCTCAGTCCAAGGTACAGTTGGCATTGCTCACTGTGCATCCATCTACAACACCTTTTACCATAGCAAAGCAGTGATCCACTGCTCTAGGAGAGGATGTTCCTTTACTTGGGAATGGTTATTCTTTAAGATGGATAGTGTGGAGGCAAGGTCAAAATTGAATGAGGCTGTGTAATATCTACATACCCTTTACCACTATACCTTGTGTTATACTGGAAAGAGGATTATGGCCATGCATTGAAATATTTTGATTTACAAAGCATGGCAAGCATGAGCAAGCTATGCACTCTCTCTTACC